CCCCCCCCCGAAAGCCTTAGTTTACTCGAAAATGCTAAGTGACGCCTGCACGCGCCGCAGGCACGACCAAACGACGCCGGCAGGCCAAGCTAGGCTCGACCGGCCCGGCCCCTGCCGAACGAAGTGCTTGCGGAGCGATGTGATGCTGGCAACTTCGTGTGGCGGAAGGGCGGCCCTAGCTTGTTAAAAGCTTCATTGGCTGAGCATAAGCGAATTAATCCACTCACTGACTGAAATTTATCTGTATGCACAAATATTTCGAGAAGGCATAAAAATAGCAATCGAACGCCATGGGCAGCGTCCTCTTCATCGTCAGAGGCAAGGTCCACAAGCATAACTGGAGCCCGATTCGGGACCAGGACGGCAGGGATAGCAACAAGGGATGGAGGCACCGGCCTATGAAGATCCGCCACGAAGGCAGCTATCTTATTGGAACTAGGATTAGCAGGATGGTCAGGTGCCATCAGAGGATAGATGACTCCAACCGGAGGCACTTGAGGGACAGCAGGCATCATATAATGGGGACCATTGGGGCCCACATGCGCCTGCGCCAGTTGCATTTGAGTCAATGGAAGAGTGAGGGGAAACTGAAATTGAAGTAAAAAGAGGAAAACTAACAAGCAGGCCCGCCCTTCCGCCAAACGGAGTTGCCAGCTCCACTTCGCTGCGCCGGCAACTCCGTTCGGCAGGGGCCGGGCCTGCTTGGCCTGCCGGCGGCGATGGTCAGGCCTTCGGCCCGACCATTTCAGTCCCACGATTTACTGAAGTGCATAATCAAATAAATAATGTGACCGGTAGATCACTTTTATATATATTATATATTTGAGTAAACTAAAGCATCCGGCGAGGGGACTGCGGCCCTAGAAATTTGCTCCTTGGACATGACAAAAGACTGTAACGGGGCAACACCGTGACTACACCCCACCCTTCTGCTTTGCTTAAGAATTTAAAAAAACGAACCCGCGCAGTTTTTTGGATGTATATTGTGTGTTAAACAGTCCTAAAACTTGACTTTTTGCCGTTGTTTTCAATATATCCACCTCTAGGGCCGAAACAGTGAAAGATACGGCAAATCCGAGGGTAGTTCCTGATTCAGAATGTGTTGTTTTGGGGGGGTGCTCCCTCTGACATTTTACGATTGGACGCCTCCTTGTACGTCTTTATGTGCAACGTGGTCATTTTCGCCGTATTTTCGTCGAAAAAAGCACTCTAGCGCCCAAACGGTGCCAGATAGAGTCAAACGGAAAAAATTTTAGCCCAAAGGGCTCTACTTTCACGAGTTACCCCTTAGGAGACCGTAAAAAAAATATTTTTTCCCAACTTTTTGGATCAACCCCTATTTCTTTGTTACCCCCTTTCACCCCCTTAGGGGTGGTTGCCAGGATTTGCACCAGGCGTTTCGTTGTCCAGAAGTGACCCCTAAGATACCCTGAAATTTGTAGACCTCTAGCTCATCTCCTTCCTCTTACACGGACGACAGACAGACAGACACGAGAGCGGTTGCATAAGCCCGCATTAATGCTTTTTTTAAAAGCAGAAGGGCGGGCTAAAAACCATACAGGTGGGGGAAAAGAGAGAAAACACGCCAGAATGAGAGGGAGAGACACTAACACAGGAAGGGCCGAGGCAGCAGCCACAAACCGAAAAGAAACGGTCCTGAAGAATCGCCATGGGCACCCGGGCCTCATAACGAAAGAAAGAGGGATCGTACACTTCCCACTTGCGTTACGGCTTGATCGCATTCGCATTCCACACAAATCTGAAAGAAAATCAAGGGATGAGCTCCTAGGCATGTTGGAGCGTCTCTTGAAGCCCGAACACATGATGGCGTCCCCAGAGGAAAACGGTTTTATCACTATAGGGTGATTCTCAGAATACGGGCCATTGACATTCCGCGACCCCTAACAACTATGTGATATGGTTTTAAAAGGGTTTTATACCATCTAGATACTCGAAAGCACTAACATGACCTGGTGCAACACTAAAAACCTAAGAATACTGCAACAGTGGGTGACAAGAGCAGTTTAAATGGTCAAAATGTGAACTCCAGTACGGTCGTAATGTCTGAGTTCATGCGGACTTTGCCAAATTCCGGACAATTTTACGGGCATAGTCGTCTAAGGCACATTGCATTTCTGGAGTGACATATCCAGGGAACGCAAGAATTGAATTTCGTGGGGAAATGTTTTTCTATATTTCGTCAGGAGACAACCAAAGTCGTTCTCACTAACTTTTTCAAAAAGTAACGGAGTTCACAATGTTGGCACTCTCTGGAAACTGAGGTGTGAGCGAGGAAGTAATCACTACAGAAAGTAGGTGTACACATTTCTATAAAAGTTAAAGTGAAAGTGACAAAAAGGTTGACTGAAAGTGATAAAAACTGAAAGCAAATGTGGACAAAAGTGACTTATCGTGCGTTGATCAGATCAAAAATGAATAAAATAAAGGGGATATAGGCATAGAAATGAAGTAAGCGTTGTAAAACGGTGAAAAAGTGAATAAAAGTGGGAAAGTGAAAAGTTGAGGTGTACGCATTTTCACGGAGTGATTACCCCCTCGGGTGTGAGACAGTCTCGCACAATTTGGTGCGAGGTAAAAAAAACCCCACACCAAATGCTGCGAGATCCTCTGTGCCTCACACAAATAAGTGTGAGATTAGTTTGGTCTCGCCCCAATGATTCCCAGACTCTAACATTGTAATTAGGTTTGCGTGTAAAGAACCTACAACATTTGGCTTTCAAAGAACGCAAAATATTGCCGTCCCTTGTAGAATGCCAATCAATGACGTTGTTTTCCAA